GAACGAGTGAGGTGGCGCAGAGGGGTGGGGAGAAATTAGAACGACAAAAGGATAAATTTCCGCAGGATGCCCGACGATCCAGCCCGGATATCGATGCAAATTTTCTGCATTACATAAACAAGGCCGCACGTGTCGCAACTTTTTCAATTACATTTATATGTTTGCACAATTGTGTCTCTTTATTGCTTTATACGCGGCACGTGCACGTGGCCACCGCGATGATAAATATAAGCGGTTATATTAGCCGTTAAAACTAAATATTATACAACACCGGGGCTGTACTTTAGTCGCGGCGTTTTGCGTGCAATCGCGCGTCGTAACCTCGAAAGACGGATCCCGCTAATCGTTTCATTATCTCGCCGCTACTTTCCATCGCTCGATCGCAACATCGTGAAAATTATTTCGTTCTACCGTTTCGAAAGATTACGCGTTACCGAATTTTCGGAAAAGTCCGAACCGAGAGAAAGAAAGAGAGGAACATTTCAATTAGAAACCAACGGAGAAAGATCGGAATTGGTTATTTGGGAAGTTAGGTTAGGTACGCAGCTAGGCGGGAACGATGGTAAGTAGAACCGGGGACTCGATCGAGCAAACAATGATTCGACTATTCCCAACGGCGTGTATATTTCAGTATTCGGCGGCCTTCGCCGGAGCTACCAGGCCTCGACAAAGAGAAAGGGAGCAGTAGAGGGGAAAAATGGGGAACAAGGATTTGTTTTCATTGACATACCAGAGCGGAGCTCGGCTCGTTTCGCAAAAATCTATTTTCGCGCGCTAATTATGTAGCAGTCGGTAACACGTCACGAGGCATCTCTCGTTCTCTCCTCCTCCTCCCCCTCCCCACCTCCTACTCCTCCACTCCGCCGTGTGCATTTCGCCTTCTCTCGCTAGAGTGCCGCGACGCTGCCGCCAGTTGGTCGGCGACGGATCATTGTTTACACTGCGACGAGGCACTGGAGCAAACGATCACGATAATAACGTTACCAAGTTCGATGACTGCATGGCATATTCAGTGGAAACCTCCCATTGGGATAAAAGGTTTTTTTTCAGTCCTTCCCCGATCGTACACTTCCACAGCACGAGATCGCGTTCGCTCTTTCCATTCGCGTTTTCTTTGTTTACCTAAGTCACGCTCCATCTTGACAGCTCTTCTGTATCGACCGATGGAATCTTTCGTTTCGAACCATAGAGAGAGAGAGAGAGAGAGAGAGAGAGAGAGCTTCGACAGGTGTCTAATAGGCGTCATGCCTAGATGTGTACTTAAATTTACTCGATACGCGTAAGGTTAAGTATCGGTATTCGATATAGTTTTGTAAACGAAGAATTCTACCTCAGTTTTCCAAGTTTCTCCGAGTTGAACGGAAGGTGTGTAATTCGTGGTAACGCGTCATACGTCGAACAACACATCGTGTACGATTACGAAGGAACGCGAGCAACCGTTCGTCGAGGTGAAATTTTTCAAAGTGAGCGGGGGCAACGTTGCTCGTGATTTGCAATTCAAGGCGAGCTCGATCACCGGACTCCTCTTTGGATGCGAATGAAAAATATTCAAGGTGGGCAGGTGGATGACTCAAATGGAAGAGGGGTAAACGAGCTCGAGGTCCGGTCGCTTCGATCAAAATATACGTATTTCTAGACACACGGTACGGCCGAACTAGACTGTTGTTCGCAAACGATATAACAACGGGGCAATTATTCATTTAAAGAAACGATAATGCCGCTGATTCGCGGAAGAGTCAACAACTGCGAAACCATTCTCGGTATGCTGGACTTTGTCGTTCCCGTCCTCGCGGTCGCGTTGCCCGACGATCTTGGCGCGCGCGCGGCCGCGTGAGACAACTTTGTGTAAACAAGATATCAACGGTTGAACCGTCGGACAACAATGTTATTAAAGCAACTAGTCGCGGATATTAATCGACCAAGTCGAGAGAAGGCAGTGCTGTGTGTCGTGGAACGTCGAGCGACGACCACGCATTTGCGTGCACCGATATCGAGACGACGTATTCGTAATTCGACGGCGCGCGAACAAATGGACCGAGATTCGTGAAACGAATGGCCGTCGTGAACGGTGCGCGCCACCATTTGTCATGGCGTCGAACGACGACGAAAGAAACGCTGACATTTTCAACCGTACCACGCTAACCAGAATTCTCTCGATATTTAAATCGACGATCTTGCCAGTTTTACGTTTCTATTTTGAATTTACGGGCACGTCCCCGTGCGATAGGTGAAATAACCTAAAACCGGTAAGAAAAAAGCCCATTCTTTGCGGTCAGATAGAGTCACAATGGTCTTCCGTATCCTCGCCCAGTGACCCGTAAAAGGTGAGAACGCTATTGGCCCTATATACCGTTACCCCCAGTTAGTGGTTAGCTGAGGGCAAGCACTTATTCGAAGGTGTAAGTCAATAGGTTCAAGTATTCCTGGGTGCAGATGCACCAACGTAACCGTTCCTTTTATTTAGACATTTTTCTCTTCTTCTTTTATGTACACGCGTAAGGTAGAAACAACAGATAAGGTAATTTCGAAGAAGTTCTTGGACGTGCAATTTTATTTTTTTACAGACTTGGTAAACATCGTCGGTGATGTACCTACTGATTTCCCCTAAAACGGTATTGTCGATTTGATAATCGGCTTTATCGTGCGACACACGTCTCGATTTTCCGTCGCGCAGCACCATTACACAATTCCATAGTACAATATTTGTTGTGCGATTTGTAGATACGCGCGCACGTACATACGTGCGTATACACAGCAGGCGGAGAGGTACCGTGGCCGCTGTGCTGCATTCTTGAGATTACGCGTGAACTACTTTTCGAATGAATGTCGCGATAAAATTTTTTTTTTTATCGGCCCGTTGCGTACTCGATTGTATCGAACGTGCCGTGATTAGGTTATCGTCGGCTGTTTTCAAAACTTGCTACCGCGCTGTGATAGACCAATAATCAACAAACTGTGATAGGGAAAATATCGAGAGGTTATTTTCCCTGTAGAGCGAACTGCACGCGGAACAATATTGTCAAAATACGTTTAACCAACGTCAACACGATTATACACGGATGCGACATCGAGAAAAAAAACGAAAAAAACGAAAGCCGCGGTAGGATATACGGGACATTTTCACAACACGAGCTTGGGTAAAGGTGTGTGCGCACGCGCACTTCGAGGAAACTCGAGCAGCGAGCGCGGCTCGAGAAATTGACATCCAACGAGTACTAATCGCCGGAGAATGGTCGAGTTAGCGAGAAACGTGTAACTCATTCTTTCGCATCCGTGACGGGATGAATAAACGTAAAGGAGGCTTTAAAAGGACACGCGTTTAAGCGCAGCCAGGGAAGAGGGAATGCTAAGTGGCAGGGCAAAGAAGAATACTAAGGAAGGCATTCGTCGGGATACTCGCGGAGAACCGACCGGATGCAACGCCAGAATGGGAATGCAAGCCTCCGCGCGCACAAGAGTCCGTTACTCGCATCGGGTATTTCCCAGAACGCGACTATAAACAAACAAACACACCGAGAGAGAAAGAGAGACAGTGTAGTGTGCGCGTGTGATCCATGCCCTCCCTTCCAAGGCAACACATAGCACCGACGAGCCAGAAGTTCGATGGGGAAGGGAGGGGGATGAGAATACTGGCGCCGTCGGTTGAGTAACCCCACCAGGAGAACCGCGCATGCGCACACAGCGGGATTCCCCAGCCGTTCCCCACCACTGGCTCGCGCGTCTGACGCCCCTCTCTCGTCTCGTTTCCCCTTCTCCTTCGGCAATGGTCAAATTCGCACGTAAAGTCGCTCCGAACGTTTCGCTATGATGACAAACTGTCCACAGTGTTTACTGTCGATAGAGCGCCGATTTTAGCTAGAAGGATCGTATTTATTGGCTATCGGCGAACTCGTTCGATAATTTTCAGACAGTTTTTAACATGAAAGGAAATAGACTTTTCTGGGAAACCGCCGACATTCTGACGTTCCCTGCATAAACTCTATTTAACCGAGAATGCATACAGGGAACAATTGGTACAACGTTTTCGAGACGTTTGTCTAAAATTTCGTGCAGCATTTCTCATTCGAATTCAGAGGCGAGCGCGAGCGCGAGCGAATTTAAAATTATGGAAATTCGAGATTAACATCGATACTCTGACTTGGTATGACATCACGCAACAGCAATTCTCGAAAAGTATCCGTTGTACCTACATCGAGCGAGCCGATCAGCAAACACGCTATCCGTTAATACTCTATTCCCGTGGTTTACACGAATCGTCGAGATTTCGAAAATATTTCCCCGAAGGAATTTAACGGAACCGCGACCGAAGGAAATTATATTATCCTTGTGGCCGTTCGTTGTCTTCTGTTTTTCGTCCCGCGGTGTCGGGAAAAAAGGAAAAACGGTGGTCATACCAGTGGGACAAGAAGAGGAGAGAAAGACTGGGAGGTGTCTCAATGCTTTCATTGCAATTTTCGCACTTGACCGCAGGGGTAAGCGTGCTTTACGATCCGCGGTAAGATTACCATCGACGCTGGTGGTGGAGGGATCTCGCTACCCCTCGATCTCCCCACCGCCGCTCCCGGATGCGGGTCTTACTACTGGAGGTGGAAGCATGCGTGGTGGGGGCCTGGGGCAACGGTGGTGGGAAGGCTTGCCGCCAACGAGTGGTCGATGGTGGGGGGAAAGCGCGGGTTAGCAGCCGGGACACGCCAGGCGTAGGATTCAGTAAGCGAACGGCTCTCAACGGCCACGAACGTGTTTTTCGTTCTTCGGTTCCCGCGCATTGCATATATATGTATATATGTACCCGAGACTGATCGAAAGAAACATAATCGAGACGCTGTCGAAAATTCGCATCATAATAACCGTAACATACAGCCGCGACACATATCCGGTTTTACGAAAGTTCACTAACTAAAAAAAACAACAAAAACAAAAAAAAGCAACAGAAGTTCTTTTGATTCATTCGATTATTTTGGTTCTTCACTTTCATTTCCGCAACTGTGGCTTTAACAATTCAAACTGGATTCCAAGAAGCAGTGCGTGTCGCGATTTCATCGCGGCTACCGGAGGCTTAAAAAATTTTTCAAGGTAAGAAGAAAACATCTAACCAACAACGACGCGAATCCCGTAAACCGCGCGCCTTTGCCTACTATATACGGTGGAAAAATAAGTCGAGCAGTCCGCGAAAGGTGTGATCGAGTGTGACGCCGCGCGCAGCAACTTCTGTGTCCGAGAGTGCTCGTTCTCGCGGAAACAGAGCGAAATTTTAGAAACGTTTCGTTACTGTTTACCCGTACATCGATACTCGTCGAAATCCCGCGTAGTGACGCCTTAAGGGATGGACGTTTCGTCGTCGTGACAATGGACTATCGTTTCGACGGCCAATCAGCCTCGTTAGAAACCGATTGTTTACTGTTCGTGAAAATTCGTCGAAACGTTCAATTCCGATCGTGGTCGTCGAATCAACTCTCGAATAATTCTATCTGATCTGTTCGGTAAAATATCTGAGAATCTTCTGAAAGAACGTTCCCACGGATCGCGATACTATACCTCCGAACGAAGAAGCGTGTGGCAACTTTGTACTCAAAAGGCGCGTCTTCCCAGTGACCGTGTTTCACGGGATCAGCAATTATTTCGTTGCGGCAATCGGATAATTTTCATCTTTCTCTCGTATTCTCCGTCGTAGTTCTCTCCGAGTGCTTGCGGAGATCTCTTTCTCTCTTTGGCGGGAAAAATAATTTCGTTTCGAAATGTCACAACATCCGATGCGTCAATATTTTCGCAAGTCTCGTTCGCCAAACCGACCTGTTCATTTTCGAAATTTTATTCGCGACCAGTTTCGCGAAGGACGCGGCAACGTGAATTTCACGGAAATCCTTCGAAACGGAAAAAAAACATGGTGTATTCGAGATTTTCGGTCGAGATCGAGTCCCGAAAACGAAAAGGAACAGTGTATGTACGAAGTCGGTACGCCGAAAAAGAGGTGAAAGAAAGAGGAGGTTAACAGACCGCCTCGAAGCATGAATAATTTATGCTCGCTGGAATTTTAAATAAATTCACCCGGAGCCCCCAAACAGGCAGCGTAATCACGACGCGGTACGAAAGTTGTTTACGTTGCCTGTCGAAACCAACTTTATACGAATTCTCTTCGAAGTAGTGCTCTCCCCGTGTCGGGCCAGGAATAATATCCTGTTTTGGACAGATTGAAACTTTTGATACTCGTTCGCGATCCAGTGAAAGAATTCAGTGACACGTCTATTTACGATCTACAAAATATTTTTTCGTTCGCAACAGACGTGTAAATATTTGTTTTCGTCACCACCACCACACCGAGGGTTCTAGTCAAACGAGCGTTTACACGAGTATTCGTTGCATCGACCGATACATGTAGTGTTGTACAGGGGGAAAAGTAGAAACTTTGAACGTTACCGACGGTTGGAAAACAATCGGCAAAACTGTTGGAAAGATTCTATTCGTAAGTATTCGTAGAGATAGATGGTAGGAGATTCGAAAGCAGGAATTTCATGGCGTCTCGTAGGGTTTTCGCGCGCGTCGAAAGGTGTGACTATCGACTAAACACAGAGCAACGCGTCTCGCGATAATAGCGCGCATAGGTGTTTGTACGAGTTTCGACAACAAATTATCGGGAATGCTCTGGTGAAGCAGCCAAGATCGCTAGGTCGAGGCGTTCGCGCGCGATACACGTGAACTTGGTGTGATCACAAAATTCCGCTAAATTCTTGAGAAGCATCAAAGGGAGTGAGAGAGAGAGAGAGAGAGAGAGGACATCGTCGAGGTTCGCGACCGATAAAACATGTTTGGATCGACCACTTGTTTATACGATACGATATGATGTGAAAGCAAACAGTTTTGTGGCCATCTCTTGCTCACGACATAGTTCGATCTTTGTCACTGGTATATGCTTATCCTCTCGACGGGCACTCGAAAGAGGAAAAACAAAGTTTTGGCGACCGCGGGATGTGTCGGTTCGTTCAAACGGTTAATGACTCAGGAGGATGCTTTTGAACACATCGGAGGTTGTGCGAGCCGCAACGGTAGTGTTTGTAGTTATCGATACGCGCGTGTCGATATTTTACGCGGGCGAGATTGTCCTGCATCGATAACACTCGTGTCGTAATTTCGATTAGCTATAGATTGTTGTCGTACGAGAGCGTTCAATAGACGGCGTTTACAATTCCGTGGCGCCCCTTTTTCGTAACAATACACAACATGTAGCAATACCTTTCTAACGCCATTTGTAAACAACCCTGTGCAACCCCATACAACGAACTTTCTTCGACTATAAACATTCTAAAGATATTCTTGTAATCATCTTTCCAAATCTACACACGTCCATGCACTAATTTTCCATTGTGCACGCCTAACCTCGAAGCTTTCTTGAATGCGCTTTTTTTTTCAATCTCAGATAGAATCGAAAACAGTGACAATAACGGTTATACAAAGATTAGAAACGTTATTTGTCTACATTGTTTATTCATCCCATACAACAAAGTCGCAATATAATATAATATTCTAGAACGACTGTTGTTCCCCATTGTCAATCCCCTCCCTCCCCGTACGTTCTCGAGACAAGTGCATCTCGGAATACGCACCTGAAAAGCTCCACGACAGTAACACGCAACTTACACTAATGCTTTTGAAATCGGACAAGCTGAACGCGCGCGTGTAAACCGTGTAGAGAGATCAGGTGCACGAGACGACGACGACGACGACAAGAGAGAGAAATGGACACAAAAGAGGCGGCAATTCGCGTTCTCCCGCTAGGAAATCGAGAGGCTTGCTCTCGGTATAGAAAATCGACGCCCTGTTTGTCGCGAAGCCCTTTTATTAGTCTCCTTCTGAACAGGCAGCTCTCGTCGAGCCGTGGTACGGCGTGTGTTCCAATTTAGCCGCGCAGCCCGTGCGCGACACGTTTCTCAGCGTCTGCGAATGCAAAACATCTCATTCACGGGCAAAAGTGCTGGCCGCCTGCGCCAATAGGCGTAGTCCCTTCTGGTAGCCGGCAAAAAGCCCGATGCGACCACGGAGAAGAAGAAGGGGTATACACGATCATTGCTCTCGCTGTCTCTTTCTCGCGCGCCTCTCTTCTGCTGCTCCTCTTTCTCTCTCCCCGTCTGCTGCTGGTGTGTGTATATATGCGCGCGCGAAGGGAAAGGGGCGGGGAAAGAGAGAGGAAAGTGTCGCGTACCATCGGCAGAGGGCAGCACTCGGCAGGCTGCACGAAAAACATAACCTCGCGAGCCTAGAGCGACAGAGATTCGTCGGAGGGTAAAGGACAGAGTGAGAACGGCGCGGAGCGTTACAAGGCGCGCGTGGAGAGAGAATGCGCGAGAGAAGGAGACGGGACGAGCAAGGCTAAAATTAGAATGTCCGTTGGAATGCTGCTGGGTTGTGTGTACAGGGTGATTCAGCAATCGCGGGAGGAGGAAAGAAGCATAGAGAAGAAGCCGCGCGCGCTGCGTCAGGGGGAGGGAGGAGAGAGTTTAACGGACGCACGCGAAGTTATTTCGTTTTTAGAAGATCGAACAAGAGGGCGTTACGTGTGTCTCGGGGTTTCGCCTTCCTGTTAAATTTCCCCGCGGTATAAACGCGCGTGATTTTCTTCTCGTACTTTTTTTTTCCTCTGTTTTTCGTTGTCACGAGGACACCTCGTGACGTAAACAGATCGCGGCGTGTCCTCGAGGTTTGTTTAACAGGGAGGTGTGTAGCGAAAGTGTTGCAGGGTCACAGACAAATCGAAATGTCACCGTGAAAAACGTTGTTTACGATTTGTCAGATTGGCAACGCGCGCTTAGCACAGCCATGTTGTGTAGGACAGAGGGAGCGAGAGAGAGAGAGAGGGGGGGGGCGGTTTATTTAAAACTGGCACGTGATACTCTCTTGAACGGGGCATATATCTACGATCTAAGCAAATTGCGAGGTCGTCTGGTGGGACGTTAGTCGGTATATCGATTATCCGAGTCCCCTCTGCCCCGAGACTTCTCTCTCTCGTTGATATCTAGTGATCGACGCTTCTCTCTATCCTGCGGTATCCGTCGGTGGTTATCCCCCTTGCTCTCCGCCATAGAGCGAGATAGAGAGAGACGGATAGATAGGATAGAGGAATAGAGGGAGAGTTAGAACGTGGTTGGGGAGAGGGGAGAGGGTGTGAGAGAAGTAGACGAGAGTCAGGGGACCAAGGAATAGATAAGCAAATAAATAAACTAGCGGGGCAAAGCGAAAGCCAGCCGCGAAGCAGAGGGAGTTAGGGCCGGTGCTGGGTGGCTCTCGGGCAAATGCTCGACGAGGTCGACGTCCTGACACGGATGGTTGACGCCGTGGGGCCCGCCTCGTAACCGGCCTGGGAAGAAGAACGAGGAAAGGTAGATAAAGACGGGATGAAAGAAAGGGCCTTGCCGACTTGCGTTTTCATCGTTCTAAATATAAATCCCTCTTCTTCTTTCTCTCTACCCCCCTCCGTTTGCCTGTCCTTCTGCAGTCGTCGCTGCTGCCACCGCGAATTCCTTGATTAACTCGTCGAACCCTTTCACGGACGAGTTTACTAGCGGGAGACTGTAATCTGAGAACCGAGTAAAATTGTTTACCATTCCACGTGATAAAATTGCGTATGGGGAATGTAAGTCTCTCTTCCGAGACACTTTCAGTTCGGAGGGGGGGAATTAACGCGCGAACGAAAGAATTTCGGTGCATCCGGAAAATGGGCCGTTGCGTATTTATACCCTCTTTTGTCGTGAAGGTTGCTTTGTAGGCGCCATCCCTCTGTATCCTGCAGCCGCTCATTTTCGGCGATGGCGTCTCGTTAAGACGTCGTCGATATTTACCCGCGCCGTTAGCAAAAAGTTGCATTTCCCTTGTCTCTCCTCTCTCTCTGCTGCGGAGAAAAGCTTGTTTGGGAAACGGTCTTTGACCGTTCTTACGGAGCGAGGGAGAGGAGAGGATACGAAGGTCAGAGAAGAAAGGAGAGCATTTCGACGGAGGATTATCCGGATTCTCTTGTTCGAGGATGAGAACTTGTTCCTTTCTATTGTCACGGGGTATAACGCGGGATCCGTCTTTCGGCGGAAGTACACAATGCCGATGGTAGGAAGGAAGCGGCGAAAGGGGCGCGATCGTCTTTCGAACCGGAAATGAAGCGATCGCCGCTTAAAAATCACGCTCGTGTACGTGTCTACACTCTCTCAACCCTTCCTTCCTCCTCTTCAGTTTCGTTCGATTGCCCCCGTTACAACGCGGGCCGTGTCAGGCACAGGGAAAAACATCTGTCGCGACGTATCCCTCCGGGTTCCTCCTCTGTATCGTATCACGCTTTCGAAGGTCTGTTGTTACAGAAGCTTCGAGAGCCGTGGAAATTTCTGTGCATGTGAGGCGAATCGACATTCGTAAGAGGAAATAATTTCCAATTACAAAGCGGTCTCCCGACCCTTACCCGACCCCGAACAGTGAGAGACAGATAGAGAGGTCGACCGCTCGGTCTCCCGAGGGCACTGTTTGCAACGTCTCTTCTCCTCCGAAGGTCAGCATTAACGGGAGCAATCTTGACAAATATTTGTCCAGACCCCGGGATTCGTGAGACCGTTTCTTTTCTACCAGCCGGGAGTAGAGGAGAGACAGTTTCTTGGTTCCTTTGTGTCCCCTTCGATGGGGAAAACGTCTCGACGGAAAAGTGCACACGGTCTCCTCGAAAACATCGATTATTCCACCATGTCGTTTCCTGCTCTATCGTCGTTTCCTTATTTTTTTCCTCCTCCCCGTCCATCGACTGTTGAAACATTCAAAACGAATATATTCCACCGGGTGAAACGATGTTTCAATTCACCTGCTTACGATAGAAAACAGGTAGATCTCCGAATGATACCGCTTAACCTTGATCTTCGAACGCGTGCACAGGTTGCGATACGAGACTGCGACGCGTGAAAACTCGAGTCACTTTCGTTTCACGCGAAATCGCTCGGTGGTCGGACGACCAACGACTAAAGCGAGAGTCCGTAGTTCTGACCCGCACCGACGCGGCCACGTGTCGGGCCTGGCCTGACGTCACTTCCGGTGCCTGATTTCCTGGTGCCGGACGATCGTTGGCGGATGAGAGGAGTTAAGTGCGCCGGACACACGAGTTCATACGCCTCCTCGTTATCCCACCGCATCGTTTTTTAATCTTTCTCCGTGCTGCGAGTCGATTAGAAATGAAACGCAACCCTCTAATCGTCGCGATACAGTCGTTCGTAGAACGTATTGCTTCTCGATGTACAAAGTTGTCACGATCCAAACCCAATAGAGGAAGTCAATAGTTGTATGTGTGAGAGAGAGAGAGAGAGAAAGGAGCGAGTAATTAAGTGTCGGATGGTTTTTGTTGCAGTGTGTGGCGAACCAGTCGCTTACCGTTTCGCCACAGCCGGCAGTAACGGTGGAGGGGCCGGTGTCCAAAATGTCTCCACCAACGAACGACGTGACCAATGGTGTGGTTGTGCCACCCAACACCCTGGCGCCCCGGGTTTCGCCGACCACGAACCCGGCCCTTACCACCAACACGCCAACGCACAAGCGCACTCCCAAGGATTTCATCTTTGGCAAGGTGATCGGCGAGGGAAGCTTCTCCACCGTAAGTGTATTATCTCGTTAACTCGATTAAATCATTAAGAACCTCCTGGATTACAACCGGGGAGAGGGAAGAAAAAGTGTTCTCGCCCTCTTCTTGGACCTTTCCTGTCGGTCTGATTCTCGAAAACTTTCCCCTCGTTACGAATGAAAGTTTCACAACCACCGACACCACCACCTTCTTTTCTCTAGATTTTTCCTTCCATGTGCACACACGCCACACGCACGGCGTGTTTTGTAGAGACTAAAAGAAGAGCAGAGAAGAAAGAGTATCGATCTCTAACGGGACGATGTTTTTTGTGATCTGCACACAGGTTTACCTCGCCAAGGATATCCACAGTGGCAAAGAGTACGCGATCAAGGTGTGCGACAAACGTCACATCATCAGGGAGAAGAAGACCGAGTACGTGCAGCGGGAGAAGGAGGTGTTGAACATGCTCGCGGGCGCGAAGCATTCGTTCGTGCGCCTGTTCTGCACCTTTCAAGACTTGGAGAGACTCTACTTCGTCTTATCGTACGCTAAAAACGGCGAGCTCCTGCCTTACATCAACAAGGTCGGCTCGTTCGACATCGAGTGTACAAAGTTCTACTCGGCGGAGATTCTACGCGGCCTCGAGTACCTTCACGGTCTCGGCATCATTCACCGTGACCTCAAGCCGGAGAACATTTTGCTGGACGAGAAGATGCACGTGCTCATCACCGACTTCGGCAGCGCGAAGATCCTCAAGGACCCGGAGACGGCGGTGACGCACACACCAACCGATGACCCACAGCAGCAGCAACAACAACAGCAGCAACAACAACAGCAGCACCAGAAACAGTACAGGAGAGAACGCAGGGGTTCGTTCGTTGGTACTGCCCAATACGTGTCGCCGGAGTTGTTAACGGATAAAACGAGCAGGGCATCCGATCTCTGGGCCCTCGGCTGTATAGTCTACCAGATGGTCGCCGGCCTGCCACCGTTTCGCTCCGGCAGCGAGTACATGATATTCCAAATGATCCTGAAGCTCGAGTACGAGATTCCCGATGGTTTCTGCGAGCTGGCTAGGTCACTGGTCAGTCAGCTTTTGGTACTCGAGCCATCGCAGAGATTGGGCGCCTTGGACGAACATGGCGCCGGTTATCCTAGCATCAGGGCGCATCCGTTCTTCAAGGGTGTCGACTTCGAGACCCTTCACGAGCAGACACCACCGCCTATCTATCCCTATCTGCCCCGTACGTCAGAGCACGAGGAGCTCAGGTCGCAGTACAGGGTTCCCGATCACCTGGAACCAGGCCTCGACGACAAACAACTGACGAGGCTTCTCGGTCTGGGTATCGGTGAAGACGAGGAGAACGAGGAAGAGGACGTGACAACCACCGAGCGTGAAAAACCAGCGCAACCCAGCACAGTCGTGGAGAAGCCAAGGAGAACGAGGATAAATGCTATCGAGGGTAACATCACCGATCTGACACAGGATGACATCAGGAACCGGCTAGAGAAGCAGCGTGCCTCGAACGAATGGGACGTCTTCGTCGAGGGTAACCTGATATTGAAGCAGGGATTCGTCAACAAGAGGAAAGGCCTCTTCGCCAGACGGAGAATGCTCCTGCTCACCACCGGACCACACTTGTATTACATCGATCCTGTGAACATGGTGCTCAAGGGCGAGATACCCTGGAGCCCGGAACTTAGGGTCGAGCCGAAGAGCTTCAAAATCTTCTTCGTCCACACGGTAAATGTCTCTTCCATCCATGACAATGCCCATGTTTCTCTTTCTCACGATGTTTACACGGGAGAACAGTTGGATCATTCGTTTCTTTCTTATCTCGTTACAGCCAAACAGGTCATACTATCTCGAAGATCCCGAAGGATTCGCATTGGAGTGGTGTAGAGCGATCGAGAACATGCGACTCCATTACTACGGCCTGCAGGAGACCCCAGCTTAAACAGAAGACTGATGAACGTTAGATCCGTTTTAGATGGAACAGATGAAGAGAGAGAGAGAGTGCAGAGGTTTCATCGATATTACGGTAAAGGAAAATAAAATGTCCGCGAGGTGCGACGATCACCGAGATCTTAGAGGATCGTGTTTAGCCCATTCGTGTGGCCAGAGGAGGCGATTCAAATACGTTAGATCGTTTGTTAGCGTGTAATTCGTCGTTTAGGGGAGATACATTTTCTAGGAAATAAGTTATAGCGACCTTCTAGCGCGTTCGGAGCGTGTTATGTACAGCTTTAGGACAAATTTTCTAGGTAAAAATTCAAAGTGTTTATATTATATATATTATATGATAACTGGACCTCCGAAGGGTAATACACACAGGGGGTATAGGAGGACAAAGAAAAACGAAAAACATAGAAATGAAAGGTTTACGCGTATCGATATTATCGTGCAGTTGCCCGTTTTTTAAAAACCCAGTTGCGTTTCCCTGTAATATTTATTAATCGTACTCGGGAGAGGTACTATCTTGAAGAGGCTGCCCGACGGCATTTTCAAGAGACACGCGAGAACCAACGTAAAGAAAAATAGCGAAATTTTTTAGCCAATGTTTCTCGGCTGTGTTAATTCACAGCGTTTGCGCCGCACGCTGCTTTGTGACACAACGCCCGTGATCGAGGTCGCGCCTGGCCT